TCTCTTAGGTCTGAGTATTTGTCACAGTGTAATACGAAATGCAGCTCTGTCTCTACCTCTCCCCGGGGGCAGAGTGAGCACAGCCTGTCCTCTCTGGGCAGCCAGGTTTGCCTGTGACGACCGGTCTCTATAGCCAGACTGTGTTCACTGAGTCTGTACCTAGTCATTGTTTTCCTCAGTTTTCTGTCAGTCACAGTGGTCAGATAGTCTGCCACCATGTACTGTCTGTTTAAAGCCAAATAGCATTGAAGTTTACTTTGATTTTTTGTGGTGTCTTTCCAATAGGTGATGTATTTTTCTTTTTGCTTTGTGATGATTTGGTTGGGCCAGATTTTCTGAGTGCTGTCCTGAGGCTCTATGAGGTTGGATTTGGTTAGTGAACTGAGCCTCAGAACCAGCTGGCTGAGGGGACTCTTCTCTTGTTTCATCTCTTGACATAGTAGAGATGTGTGATGGAATGTTTTGGGGTCACTTGTTTTTAGATGGTTGTAAAATTTGATGGCTCTTTTTTCTATTTGAATAAGGAGGGGTTATTGGCCCAATTCTGCTCTACATGCGTTATTTCGAGTTTTTCTTTGCACTTGCAATACAGTCTTGCAAAACTCTGTATGCAGTATTTCGATTGGATGTTTGTCCCATTTGGTAAATTCAGTATTAGAGAGCGGACCCCATACTTCGCTGCCATATAGAGAAATTGGTTCTATAACTGATTGGACAATTTTGAGCCAGATTCTAATTGGAATTTCGATTTTAATATTCCTTTTAATGGCATAGAATGCTCTTCTTGCTTTGTCTCTCAGCTCATTCACAGCCATGTGAAAGCTACCTGTGTTGCTGATATTTAGTCCTAGATATGTGTAATTTGGTGTGTTCTAATAGAACTGTGTCCAAATATAATTTATATTTGTCATCCTGATTTCCTGACCTTTTTTGGAATATCATTATATTCGTTATTTTTTTAAATTAACGGTCAGGGCCCAGGTCTGGCAGAACCTGTGCAGATGATCTAGATGCTGCTGTAACCCCTCCTTAATGGGAGACAGTAGCACCAGGTCATCTGCATACAGCAGACACTTGATTTCAGTGTTGTGTAGGGTGAGACCAGGTGCTGCCAATTCTTCTAATGTTTTTGCCAATTCATTAATGTAAATGTTAAATAGTGTTTGACTAATTGGGCAGCCCTGTTTTTCTACACGTCCCTGAGAGAAGAAGTCTGTTTGCTTGTTGCCGAGTTTAATCGCACATTGTACATTGATTTAATAACATCATATGTTTTCCCTCCAATACCACTTTCTATTAGTTTGTAAAAAATACCTTTGTGCCAAATTGAATCAAATGCTTTCTTGAAGTCTACAAAACACGAGTAGATTTTGCCTTTGTTTTGGTTTACTTGTTTGTCAATTAGAGTGTGGAGGGTGTAAATGTGGTCTGTTGTACGATAATTTTTTACAAATCCAATCTGGCTTCTGCTTAGGTGTCACGTTCGTTTAAAGAAGGGTCGGACCAAGGCGCAGCGTGATATGCGTACATGTTTATTTAACGGTAAACACATGACAAAACAACAAAGGAAACAAAACGTGAAGTCCAAACACAACAAACCTTACACGGAAAAAGAACCCACAACTAGACAGTGCCAAAAGGCTGCCTAAGTATGATTCCCAATCAGAGACAACGAGCGACAGCTGCCTCTGATTGTGAACCACACCGGCCAACATAGAAATACAAATCTAGAATATTCACACCCTGACCAAACTAGCTAGAGTTCTGTAGGCCAGGGCGTGACAGTACCCCCCCCCCCAAAGGTGCGGACTCCGGCCGCACAAACCTGACTGAATAGGGGAGGGTCCGAGTGGAGCCGCTGCCCGGAGCTGGCTTGGGCACCGGTGGGGCAGAACGCTCTGGCTCCGGAGTGGAGCAACCGACCGGATTTGGATCAGGCACCGGTGGAGCGGACTGCTCTGGCTCCAGAGTGGAGCCGCTGACCGGTGCCGGACCAGGCACCGGTGGAACGGGCACGGGCTGTGCCGGACTGGCGACACGCACCACTGGCTTGGTGCGAGGAGCAGGAACAAGCCGGGCCGGACCAGGAACACGCACCACTGCCTTGGTGCGAGGAGCAGGAACAGTCCAGGCCGGACTGGGAACATGCACCACTGGCTTGGTGCGAGGAGCAGGTACGGGGCGTACCGGACTGGGAACCGGCGCTGGAGGTCTATGACTGTCTCCGTCTTTTACACTCCGCGCCCCGTCCTCCTCCAGTGAGGACTCCTCCTTGAGCCCCCACGAGTGCAGTGGTCGGGGCTCCTCTGTCGCTCCCCGACCACCCTTTTAGCCCCCCAAATTTTTTTTATTGGGGCTGTCTCTCCTTCTCCACCCTGATCCCTTTCAGGGCCTCCATCTGCCTTGCCAGATCCTCTCTTATCTCCCGCCAAGTCCATACTCTCTGTTCCTCCACCTGTGTCCAGGGTGTCTGCTGCTCCTGGGCACGCTGCTTGGTCCTCGTTTGGTGGGTCCTTCTGTCACGTTTGTTTAAAGAAGGGTCGGACCAAGGCACAGCGTGATATGCGTACATGTTTATTTAAATAATAAACACACGACACAGTAACCAAAATAACAAACTTTAACCGTGACGGTCCAAAGGGCTAACACACTAGCCTAAACAGGAACACAATAAAATCCCACAACACAGGCAGGAAAACTGGCTGCCTAAGTATGATCCCCAATCAGAGACAACGAGCGACAGCTGCCTCTGATTGGGAACCACACCCGGCCAAACATAGAAATACAAACCTAGAAAATTCACACCCTGACCAAACTAGCTAGAGTTCTATAGGCCAGGGCGTGACATTAGGACGTTGTGTTCATCAAGGAAATGATGTAGTCTGCTGTTTATGATACTGCAGAGAATTTCCCCCAAGTTGCTGTTAACGCAAATTCCTCTGTAATTATTTGGGTCAAATTTGTCTCCATTTTTATAAATTGGTGTGATCAATCCTTGGTTCCAAATATCGGGGGAAATACCTGCAGTTAGGATAATGTTGAAGAGTTTGAGTATAGCCGATTTGAATTTGTGGTCTGTATATTTGATCATTTCATTTAAAATACCATCAGCACCACAGGCCTTTTTGGGTTGGAGAGTGCAAAGTTTTTCCAATAATTCTTGTTTTGTAATTGGGGTATCCACAGGATTCTGATAGTCTTTGACTGCTGATTCAAAGATTTGTAATTTTTCCTGTATATCTTGTTGTTCTGGGCTCTTTGTTATATTGCTGTAGAGGTTTGCAAAGTGATTTCTCCACATATCCCCATTTTGGATAGCCAAACTCCTCATTATGAGGTCTGTTTAATTTATTCCAATTCTCCCAGAAGTGGTTTGATTCTATGGATTCCTCAATCACATCCATCTGATTTATAATGTGCGGTTCTTTTTTTGTTCTTAGGGTGTGTTTGTATTGCTTCAGCGTTTCCCCATATTGAAGGCGTATATTTTTGTTGTCTGGGTCTCTGTGTTTTTGATTAGATATATTTCTCAATTACTTTCTTAGATTTTTGCAATTATTATCAAACCATTTTTCATTATCTATTCTTTTTGGTTTGCTCTTATGTTTCTTAAGATTAGCCAAGGAGGCTAATTTGTCAAATATAAAGTTTATTTTCCAAACGGCCAAATGTACACCTTCATTGCTGTAGGAGAATGTTAAGGCTAAAAAGTTGTCCAGGAGAGATTGTATTTTTTGGCTACTAATTGCTTTTTGGTAGATTTCTGTACTGTTTGCACTCCATCTATAGGTCTGTTTAGTACCATGTAATTTATTGGGCCGTGATGCTTCATGGTTGGGTTCTGCTGGTTTACTGTGGTCTGAGAGAGGTGTTAGTGGGCTGACTGTGAAGGCTCTGAGAGACTCTGGGTTGAGGTCGATGATGAAGTAGTCTATAGTACTGCTGCCAAGGGATGAGCAGTTGGTGTATCAACCAAAAGAGTCCCCTCTTAGCCTACCATTGACTATGAACAGACCCAGTGTTCGACAGAGCTTCAGGAGCTGTACTCCATTTTTGTTTTTCACTTTGTCATAGTTGTTTCTGGGGGGGTATATGGGGAGGGAAAGGTTGTTGCTTCCCGGTAGGTGTTTGTCCCCATGACTGTTAATAGTGTCTAGTTCTTCTGCTGTTCTAGCATTCAGGTCTCCACAGACCAGCACATTGCCTTGGGCCTGAAAGTGACTAATCTCCCCCTCTAGAATGGAGAAACTCTCTTCATTGAAGTAGGGTGACCCTGAGGGGGGAATGTATGTGGCACAGAGGAAGACGTTTTTATCTGTTAAGATAGCCTCGTAGATTTTTTGCCAGATAAAGAATTCTTCTGTTTTGATCAATTCGATGGAATTAGTTAGTTCAGATTTATACTATATTTGCATTCCCCCTGAGTCTCTGCCCTGTGTGATTCCTTTTAATTTGGTGGAATGTACGATTATCTCCCTATAACCTAGTGGACAGCCAGTGGAAACATCACCTCTGCACCATGTTTCCTGTAGTACTACAATATCAACATCATCAATTTCTTTAAGGAAGTCTGGGTTTCTGCTCTTTAGCCCAAAAGCAGATGACTTCAATCCTTGTAAATTCCAACATGCAATGTAAAAATACTTTATATATATTTTTTCTTTACCTTCAAAATGAGATAAACACTCACAATCCAACAATAACTATTAAAATAGGATTTTTCAATTAAGGTAAACTCTTATTATGCAAATGTCACTTGTTTATCATTGGTCCTCTGTAGCTCAATTGGTAGAGCATGGCGCTTGTAACGCCAGGGTAGTGGGTTCGATCCCCGGGACCACCCATACGTAAAAATGTATGCGCACATGACTGTAAGTCGCTTTGGATAAAAGCATCTGCTAAATGGCATATTATTATTATATTATAAGATAGTATTTGTGTCATGCCACTTGGGTGGATGTAGTGTGAGGATGGTGGAGTTCTTGTGCTCATCTTACCATGACCCTCGGCCTATCACGTGAGCATAGTAGATTCAGCATTTGTTTGATGTCACTCATTTCGTTGGTGGGAGCTGGACCAATTGCTCCTCTCACAGCTTGTGCATAGCTCTGTCTGCCGGGCTGTGGCTCCTCCAAGTGTTGTTCTGCGGTGGGGGGGAGGGGGGTGTTAGGCCTCGTCTGGGTGGGTCTGAAGCTGGGCTGGGGTGGTCTGTGCTGCGCTGGATGTTGTGGGCATTGAGGTTGGTGGTGCTGTGGCTGTGACTGTGGGGTCCAGGGTGCTGGTCCGGGGTGTTGTCTCGGTGATCTCGGGGGGGGGGGTGGAGATTGCTCTGCTGTTCCTGGGTGGAGAGGTTGGGATGCGGTTTAAAGCGACGTCCTTGAGAGTTTTAGCAAGGATGGGGATTGTCTCCCTGTACAGGTGAACATGGTCATAGAGACAGTCCAGATCGAGGGTGGGATGGTGGGCCAGGTGTACATTGGGTCGCAGGGCACAGTCCCGGGAGAGGCTGGCGTTTATTCTTTGGATTGTGGCAGGGTGGAAGTCTTTCCTCTGTAGAAGGGTTGTCACCACGATCCTTGAGTTGGGGAAGATTGCGGAGGCCTTCTCAATTACTCCCCGTAGTGAAGTTGCCACCCTCTCCTGTTGAGCACGCAGGTCGTTGCTTCCGGTGTGTATGATTATGTGGCTTGGCGACCCGAGCTGGGCCTTATCAAGCAGCGCCATGGCACTCTGCGTTGTTGGGCACCACACCTTTCTCGTTTTGTGTCTAGGGAAAAGTTTATTCTCCTGAACAAACTTCCCATTTGAGTCCATCAACAGGACAATCTCAGCCAGTGTTTCTTCTGGACTGGAGGAGGTAGAGTTGGGGCTGGTGGGTGTTGGAGCTGGGGTGTGGCTGGTCTGTGTCGGTGCCGCTGTCAGTGGGAGGCTGTTCTGTAGGCTGGGGGAGGCATGCAGCTGGCAGGGCTGGGGAGGCCTGGCTGGTTGAGGTGGACGCCTCTGCTGTGTGAGGGCAGGTCATAGAGTGGTGATCTAGCTGCTCCTGCAGCCTGTCCTCTGTTCTCTTTCTCTCCTGCAGCTCCTCTCTTAGTGTGGTCAGCTCGTTATTACTGCTCTGCCTGTCTTTTTGGAGCTCTCTCACCTCCTTTGTTTGATCAGCCAGCTCTCTCTTGAGTCCGTCTCTCTCTTGCTGAACTTCTTTCAGCTGTGTTGCAAGGCTGCTGTCCTGCTCTGTCCGCACCTTGGTTAGGAGCTCCTCTAAGGTGTGGATGTCTGGTTGCTGTTTGCTCACACTTTCCCTGAGCAGGACCACCTCCCCCTCCAGTTTGGTGAACTGATCCCTCATGGAAGCCATGGTGGAGAGGAGGGCCTGAGCCTGCTCTGCACTGAGGGGGTCGCTCTCCTCCTGGGGCGTGTCCTCCACTATGGTGGGAAGAGAGGTGCTGGATGTGCCTTTTTGGGTGGGGATATTGGGGGTGAGGGTGGTGCTGGTGGAGTTTGTCTTGTGGGAGGGCATGTCACTGGTGGTGTCCATCTCTCTCTCTGCTCTCTCCATAATGGTCTGAAAGTCTGTTTCAAACAGTCTAAGGTTACCTTGCACCATGACAGTCCCAGTCTTGTAGAGGTTGATTGTTATCATGGTGCTGTCAGGGTTGTCTGTCTCTTTGACTTTCAGCTTCCACCCATTACAGGTTCCCTCTTTCTTTACGGATGGGTAGTGAGAGCAGACTGCTGAGCGCCATGCATTTGGCTGGTCAGTGAGAAAGATGAGATTACTCACATCACCGTTTTTGTAGAGGTCTGTGAAAAGTGTTTCTGGCCTCCCCTTTAGTAGATTCTGTTTAAAAGCTTTCTTCATTGTGTTATTTTTGGCCTCTGGAGGGTAGAGAATGGACTCAGTGCTGAAGGGGAGTGGGGACATGGTGCCTGTGGACGCTGCCTCTCCTGCTGCTCTGTTCTGCTGCACCGTTGCCATAGCAACCCGGTTTGTTTGTCTACTGCTGTTGCTAGCTAGCTCTAATTTAGCTCAAAAACCAGCAAAAAGAGTGAAAAATCTTCACACACAAAAACAGAAGATATGTTTAAAGTTAGAGTCCTTGCTTCTTTTTGATTTACTCACTCAGTTTGGTCATTTGATGTAGTTGTATTAACTCCCTTTGCTAGCTCAATTTTCTGGCTAGCTGGCTTGCTAGCCTGCTGGCTAGGATTTTGTTGTGTAGCTAGCTAGTGAGAGTCAAAACTTCTTAATTTGAGTCGCAAAGTTACTTTTTTTTCTATTCTGATTTAATAGATTTGTTGTTCATCACTTCTTTTCTTGAATTATTTTTAGATTTGAGTGTTTATCTCTTTCTAAAAACAAAAAAACAAAAATATATCAGGAGCATGTTGAGCATGACCCCTCTCTCTCTCTCTCTCTCTCTCTCTCTCTCTCTCTCTCTCTCTCTCTCTCTCTCTCTCTCTCTCTCTCTCTCTCTCTCTCTCTCTCTCTCTCTCTCTCTCTCTATCTCTCTCTCTCTGTCTCTCTCTCACTTCCTTTCTTTTTATCCCCCTTCCTCCCTCACCCCCTGTGTTGGGTCAATATACAGTGAACCTGAGGTGACATGGAGATGGAGGAATGCAATCTCCTCTCTGCTCTGCTCTGCTCCCCAGGGGTTTGACTTATAGTTCATCTGTCTGGCTGCCTTGGCCCAGGGCGGTCTGTATGAACCACACTCAGCTCTGTGTGTCTCTGCTACAGTGTATAACAACTGACTCACGTGAACAGTGGTTGATATGAAGCACAGTCATCTCTGTATCGCTACACCACGTTAATAACATACATGTATGAACCTCTTTCTCTTTATGAATCATCTGGGAGGTTCTGTTCTAAAATCTACCCTACTGAAGGACATCAGTAGGATAGCAGGGGTGCAGCAGGAGAAATAATGTCAATAGGGGGAGTAGCAGGGAGGAGGAGGGATCATATAGCTGACTAGTGGTGCCTATTCAGCAGCCTGATGGTCTGAGGGTAGAAACTATTGGCCAGTCTTTCAGTTTTTGCCACGATGCTCCTGTACTGCCCGCATCTGAGTGATTGAATCGGGGAGAACAGGGCATGGCTTGGGTGGCTGGGGTCCCTGATGATGTTCTTGACCTTCCTACGACACCTGGTGTTGTAGATGTCCTGTAGGGTAGGCAGTGTGCACCCAATGGTGCGTTCGGCTGCACGTATCACCTTCTGAAGAGCCTTGCGGTCCGCCACGGTGGAGTTGTCGTACCAGGCTGTGATGCAGCCCAACAGTATGCTCTCGATGGTGCTCCTGTAGAACACTGTGAAGGCCCTCGGGGACAGGCCAAATTTCTTCAGCATCCTGAGGTTGAATAGTCGCTGTCGTGCCTTCTTCACTACGGTGTCCATGTGGTTAGACATTTTCAGCTTCTCTGAGATGTGTACGCTGAGGAATTTTAAGTTATTGACCGTCTCCACGGCGGCCCCGTTGATGAGGATGGTGCGTGTCCAGGCAGGTTCCCTGAAGTCCACAATCAGTTCCTTTTTTTTTTGCTAACGTTGAGGGAGAGGTTGTTCACCTGGCACCACACTGTCAGAGTGCCTACCTCCTCCCTGTAGGCTGTCTAGTTGATGTTGGTGATCAGGCCTACTAGTGTCGTGTCATAAGCGAACTTGATGATGGAGTTGGAACTGTGTGAGGCCACGCAGTCATGGGTATACCTAGAATACAGGAAGGGACTGAGGACGCACCCTTGTGGGGCTCCCGTATTGAGGATCAGTGTGGAGGAGGTCATGTTGCCTACCTTCACCACCTGGGGGCAGCCCGTCAGGAAGTCCAGGACCCAGTTGCATAGGGAAGAGTTCAGACCTAGGGGTGTAAGATTTGTAATGAGCTTATAGGGCACTATGGTATTGAAGGCCGAGCTGTAGTCGATGAACAGCATCCTCACATAATCATTCCTTTTGTCCAGGTGGGTAAGGGCAGTGTGCAGTGCAATGGTGATTGCGTCGTCCATGGATCTGTCAGGGCAGTAGGCGAATTGGAGAGGGTCGAGTGTATTGGGGATGGAGGAGGTGATATGGTCTTTGACTAGCCTCTCGAAGCACTTCATGATGACGGAAGTGAGTACTACTGGTCGGTAGTCATTCAGTTCAGTTACTTTCCCTTTCTTGGGCACAGGGATGACAGTGGACATCTTGAAGCAGGTGGGTATAGAGGCCTCAGCTAGGGAGAGATTGAAAATGTCAGAGAACACAACAGCCAGCTGGTCTGCACATGCTCTGAGGGCATGGCTAGAGATGCCATCTGGGCCAGCAGCCTTGCGAGGGCTAACACGTTTGAATGACTTACACATGTCCTCAGTGGAGACTGTGAGTGTGTAGCCCACGTTGTCATCGGAGGCTCTCCTCGGCAGCTCAGGGTCATTGTGCTCCAATCTTGAGAAAAAGGTGTTTCGCTCGTCTGGTAGGGTGGCGTTGGTGACCGTGATGTGGCAGGCTTTCTTTTTGTAATCCGTGATCGTGTTTCACCATCTTGATCAATCTGCGTAGGTAGTATTTGTACTGTTTAACCAAACCATTGTCCCTGGTCACCTTGCCCTGTTTATAAGCAGCATCTCTCTCTTTTAGTTTTCCTACAAGGCCGCTATCAATCCATGGTTTTTGATTTGGGTACGTTTTGAAAGATACTATTGGTATCACGTCATCTATGCATTTTTTAAAAAAATCCGGTGACTGAGTCGGTGTATTCATTGTCATTATCTCCAGAGACAACCCGGAACATATTCCAGTCCATGTGATCAAAACAGTCTTGGAACGTGAATTATGATTGGTCGGACCAAAGCTGTACAGACCTGATCACCGGAACTTCCCTCTTGAGTCTTTGTTTGTAGGCAGGGAGAAGCAAGAAGGAGTCATGGTCAAATTTACTGAAAAGGAGGGCGGGAGAGGGCCTTATACCTGTGTTGAAAAGGCATGTAGCAGTGGTCAAGAGTAGAATTTCCGCGAGTTAGACAATCGATGTGTTGGTAATAATTTGGGAGCACGGTTCTGAAATTACTTTTGTTAAAGTCCCTTGCAACAATGAACGCTGCTGCCGGGAATGTAGTCTGCAGTTTGTTCAGGGTCCAATGAAAATCTTTGAGCTCCTTTTTGGTGTCGGCTTGAGGGGGGATGTACACAGCGAACACTCTCAGCAGGTAAAAAGGACAACATTTTATGACCAAGTATTCCAAGTCAGCGGAGCAGAAACTTGCAGGTTCCTGTACGTTTCCTCCGTCACACCATGTGTTGTTGGTCATAAAGCAGAGCCAACCACCCTTGCTCTTTCCAGAGAGAGCCCGCTTCCTATCCGCTCAAAAAAACTTAAAACCCACGGGTTGTATATAATCCATCTGGATGTCAGAGGAAAGTCTCAGAAAAACAGAGTATGTTGAAGGATCTGTCCCTCTGGAAGGAGATCCTCGCTCTGAGATCGTCAAGTTTTCTCATTAATGATTGAATATTGGCGAGTAGTATGCTCGGTAATGGAGAACGGGTCGCCCGGTGTCTTAATCTCACTAAGACCCCACCACGTCTGTCTCTCCGTCGGCATCTTCACTTCTTACTCGCCGGTAGGACACCCAAGCAGCTCAGCTCCTCGCCGAAGAAGCTAGTCCATTGTTCTGCTGTCTCAGGGAATTTGGGGAGGTCGAGTGGAATTTTGCAGTGTTGAACTGAAACACAACGTACTGCCCTGCCCTGCTTTGGGCTGGCTGGGGTCAAGAGATCACAGTGTTGATGAGCCTATCCCTGATGAGTGTGTTAGTCATCATTTTGTGTGACTCAGTCCTGGCCTCTGCCCCTTACTACTATGCAGCTACACAGCATGATCACCATCCTAATACAAGGGCCTAGTTTATCTGTCTGCCATCTTGTAGGGCTCAGTAGTGAGTCAGTTTACCATGCTCAG